ATATATGTAGTATATATTTTTGAATAGTTTGAGAAACAAACAATGAATAGATCTGTGGGTCTATAGTATAGTGGTAGTGTCCTAGATCACAATCATAAGGACTAGAGTTTAATATCACACAAGAGTCATGTAAGAAAAATAATTAGATTGTACAAGAATAGGACTTCTGACTTTTCTATTGGTTGCTGGGTTGAAAAGGATCTATCGCAAGAATTGTATGAAGAAAGGTCTCTGGTCTGGTTACATGAATTATGCCTGATCTAATTCCCCTGAACTGGATAGAAAACAAATTTCAGGATCCCACTTTTAGAGCTATGGTAATCTTCTGAATATATTATTAACCTCAAATTGTACCAACAGACTTTGGGATCTGCTTCTAAAACTGTAGTGATTGTCTGAACATTCTTTACCTCAAATTGTATCAACAAACTCTGGAATCTAACCATTCTAATTTGAAATATTCCAATCCAATACTTGCTTAAATGAAGGATCTATCAAACAAGACTTGTCTGTGATACCGCAGGTGGTGACAAAGAGAATAAAAATCCTCTCTGAAGTTCAAGTGAAAAGTATCAAGATATTTGGATGGTTAAAATAACCCTCGAGAATTTGAAACCAATATATAAGTTAACATAGTAGTGTTTAACTATACCAACATTACTATCGATAACTGTTATCAACCATCTGATCCCTAGATAGGCATGCTCTCTCATTTAAGGGGTTTCAAGGCGGTCTGCCTAGGACAACTTTCATATATATGTATGAGATGATTGATGTCATGCTTAAAATTTAATTATCAATAAAAAGCCCACATCTAATACCAGTTGTGGTTTAAAAAAAAAAAAAAAAAAATGATGAATAATATATAAAAATTTTATTTTTAATTGAATAACAAAATCTTATTCCTTAGGAAGTCCTAAATTATTTTGAAGCATATAATTAAAATTCTTTATTTTTTTGAAGAATAATTATTAGAAATATTATTGGTTATAGAATATTCAAGAAAATTCAGTTTCTATTCTGGATATATAGCAAATTTCCGATTTCGCATTACGTAGATAAGTGCGTAATTTTATTACAATGGGCTTGTGCAACATAATAAAATTATTTAACATGTCAATTTGCTAATTCGCTTTTTTCAACCTTAAAAGTTTAATGGCTCCAGTGCAGGTATATGTTTATGATTTATCCCGGGGTTTTGTTAGATCATTGCCACCAGAGCTTTTGGTAAGTTCTTTCTAAAAATCAATAGCACCCTTAGAATTTGTAAGCAAATTTTATTATTCAATACATTCGCTTTTAATTAATCGAAAAAAAAATCTTTCGCCAGGGACGACAAATAGGTACTCGATCTTACCTAAATCGGTCAATTTGTTGATTATACGCTTACTTTTTTATTTTAATATCTTTTACCAGAAGGTATATGGCATACCTCGGTGGTTCTCCATGGAATCGAATACTACTTCGGTCAAGGCATATTATTTGAACTGCCGGTAAAAACGCTTTACTATTATTATTTATATTACGTTTTTAATATTAATGTATTCTAATTGAATGTCTGTTAAAGGGAAAAACAATTCTAGGTCCCCCCCAAGAAATTATTGAAATGGGTGAAACTGAAGTACCATTAAAACTTTTCGAGGAATACATCGATGAATTAAGAGAAGTCTTTACAGCAGAAAGATATCATTTACTGGAGAATAACTGTAACACGTTTACAAATAAAGTTTGTCAATTCCTAACCGGAAAGTCTATCCCTGATTACATTATTGGTAAGTAATGTAATATGAGTACCTGCCATTAATAATACGTTCTTATCAACTAATCATCAAACAGATTTACCGGCTAATTTTTTGAGTACACCTTTGGGGCAACAATTTCGTCCGATGTTAGAATCAATGTATGGTCCAAGTAGCCTTTCATGAATATACCGCTATTAAAAATGTTAGTATCGGACTTGGTTATTATACATCACTATAATTATGTTTTAATAACGAAATAACGACTTTTTTGCTCTCAACAATTCGTATAATTGATTAGAGCTTTAATAAAGATGAGGGTTACCTTTGATAATAGTCAATTTATTTTTCTAGATCGTTTAGAACCCTTTTTATTCATTAATTTTAATTCAAGTGCCATTATTTTTTTCATTTTAATCACACTGTATTAACATTAAATAAGGGTAATTATTAATTAATTACATTTGTGTTGTCTTTTTTGTGCTTTATTATAGTAGTAACTCAGGCTTATAATAAACTTTAAACTTATAAACTCCGACATAATAGAATTTTATACGGAACCCAAGGCTAGGTTACTGTAATTAAAAGTAAAGTTTTTGGACTAATTTTAAATATCTTTTAATTAATATTTAAGGGATAAATTTAAAAATATATGCTATACAGTATATACTGTATGTATACTGTATCTCTCTTTTTTTAAGGTGAATGGCCTATATGCAATATCTTTATTAACTTCTTGAAATTTATCAATATACATATTTATGTTTTATATATATTATTACTTATAGATAATACTGCCTATCATTATGATAAATCCTTTGAAACTTCTAGTAAAAAGATATTATACTTGAAAAATTTTAAAAAAAAATTTTTATTACTAGTTTAAATAATTCAATTTTATTTTATTTTTAAATCACAACTGGTATTAGATGTGAACCTTTATTAAGAATTAACTTAACCTTGGATATTTATATCCTTGGCATGACATCAATCATCTCTTATAAACTATATATTTCTATATATATGCAGATTAATGATAACTCATCATGATTATTCCTAATTAAGCCTATACTCCATTCCAAAAATAGGCAGACTCAACTAGGGGCCAGAGATTAAATACACAGTTATCAATGGCATTGCTAAGGCTAGTTGGTATTGAGCTATTTATATTACTTATATAATCACTAAACTAGTCCTTTTATGTAGGTATCTAGATAGGATCGTATACTCTTCAAATACTTCCTGATATTGTTCGCTCAGATCTCGGAAGGGGGCATGTTACCTTCTTTATCATCACCTGTAGCATTGGATCAGTTCCTATTGACTGACTTTCAATTAAGCAGGTACCAGATTAGGATATTTTAAGCTAGGAGAGTGAGATCCTAGAGGTTATCAGGTTAGGTTGGTTCATGTATATTCAAATAATTGCTACAGTCCTAAAAGCGGAATTCTGAGTTTTTATTTTTCTGTCCAGTTCAGGTGGGTACTCAAGTGTAACTTGTATAATCAAACTAGAGATCTTTCTTCATACAATTCTTGTGATAGATCTGCTTTAGCCCAGTAATAAACGGGAAGGTTAGAAGTCCTATTTTCATATAACTTGATTAATTTTCTCACATGATCTTTATGTGGTATTAAACTCTGGATCTTGTAATTATGACCTAGGAGCACTACCACTGTGCTATAGACTTATAGATCAAATTATTCAATTTTATTTAATTAAAGTCTAATTATGCTATTATAAAAGTTTTTTTTTTAATTCATAATTATAGTAGAGAACAAAAAAAATTGTTTAAATTTTTTAAAAAATATAAAAAATATTAATATAAATATTTTAAATTTATAAAATAATTTTTAATTAAAGTAATCTATATTTATTTAATATTATTATTTTTAATTAAAATAATTTATATTTATTTAATATTATTATTTTTAATTTTTTTTTAAATTTTATATATTAAGTTATATAAATAATATAAGTTATATATTATTTTATAACAAATTATATATAATTATATTAAAA